TTACGAGGAAAAAGTCAGCAACGTGCCGAGAGTGCAGAAACGGAATGCCGCACACCGTGTCGGCCCACTTGAAGTATTTTGAGCCTATGTTCTACATTAAATATTTTGTTTGGTGACGAAGCACTTCTTCGTAGACTTATGCGTGCACATCACACTTTTATTAGAAGCTACTAAAATTTTTAACACGGTTTTTTAAAACAAAAGTGTGAGTTTTGTCACGTTTTTACAAATATGAGGCCACATTCTTCGAATAACAACGAAGGCCTGAATAGTTCGTACGATTATAAGCGTGTTTTTTCTGTAAATCGAGATTTGTAACTAAATGAAAACTGACATAGAGCATGAGGAAAGTTATTGATTCATACTGACGAGATCCGGATTCAGCACACTATGAACAAGTAGCAGCGAACGACAGTTCAGAAATGTCAAGTTAAATTGCAAGTACTATAGTTACATTAAAGTTGCAAAAACCTTTGTATAACTGCGAACCAAGTTCCTGCATGAAGATTATTATTAGATAATTAGGTAAGATTATTAAGTTAGTTTTTTTTGTGACTTAAGGGGGCTCATACATGTTAAAAGCACTTTTTTAAAAAAAATTTTGATGTAGACGGATTAAGATTTTACAATTTCTGTGTTAAAATCCTTTTAGATAATTGAGTAAGCTTCATTTTGGCTTAAGGGAAAGTGACTTTGGACATTTTTGGGAGATTTAGTCGAAACGTTTAAAATTTTGCTTCTCGTAAGATTTTGTTCGCATACTTGATCAGATCTGTGGGGAAAAAATCAGGGAGACTCATCCCCAGTAGTGTCATAGAATTGACTAGAATGGGCCTTATATCTGCAATAGTTTTCAAGAAAAAAAATAAAAACAATTTTTTGTTGAAAAATTTGTTTAAAAAATTGTTAAAAAAATCGTTTTTATTTTTTTTTTCTTGAAAACTATTGCAGATATAAGGCCCATTCTAGTCAATTCTATGACACTACTGGGGATGAGTCTCCCTGATTTTTTCCCCACAGATCTGATCAAGTATGCGAACAAAATCTTACGAGAAGCAAAATTTTAAACGTTTCGACTAAATCTCCCAAAAATGTCCAAAGTCACTTTCCCTTAAGCCAAAATGAAGCTTACTCAATTATCTAAAAGGATTTTAACACAGAAATAGTAAAATCTTAATTCGTCTACATCAATTTTTTTTTTTGAAAAAAGTGCTTTTAACATGTATGAGCCCCCTTAAAATGCACCCAAACCCCTTACAATTATAGAAACGGTGGTTGGGAAGGTGGTCTTAGTTTAAGTGCATCGCTGAATCAATTGTGTGTTTGTTGTCGCGCACAGATTTTGCGTCTGAAAATAAATAATCTAAGATGGCACTAGGATCGCATCAGCAACCCCTATATTCCTCAAGCAATTCTATTTCCTTCTATTCAACTACAGAAGTGTCGCAGTTACCAATATACGAACGAACATGCTGTGAATCATGCCTTTTCATGTCCATTTCAGTGAAGTCGTTTTTTTTTATAAATGCTACGTTAAAATTGAGAAAATATTACTCAGGACATTTCACCATCAGTTCATGTTTTTTATTCAACGATCATAAAATAGCGTAAGAGGAGTAGTGTCAGCTGTAGTCATGTTACGTAAAGGGTTGCCACATTAGCGGCTTGCCGTACTCAGTCGTGTCTATTTTAACAATCAAGTTTTAACAATCTCGTTAACGAACACGTTTGTAGCTAGGCAGAAGTAACCTCACGTACCCGCGCGGCCGGTTTTGCGGTAGTACCACGAAGCCTGATGGTCACGAAGCAGACACCCCAGAAATCACACAAAAGAGTATTCGTCTTGTGCCTAACCGGTCGCACGAGTTCCTATGAAATCCCTGTTTGTTGATTCTTGGTTTACGTGAATAAAGCACTGTTTGAACACCTGGTTGAGTCTTTTCGTTTAGCAAGGCAAAGGATGACTGATGGTAGTCAGCAACTCTTGGCAGAACAGTGTGACTTTCTAGATCCTCCTGCAAAGTTTTCCTGTTCTTTACAAATCAGCAAGCCTACATTGTATGGTCTACCTCGGGTATGCCTGGAAGCACGCTCTTGCTAGAGCATGCCTGCCAAGCATGCACCAACTGGCGCAGTGTACACACAAGCAGGCGGCGGACACAGAGTGTACTAGGAGAAAACATAAAGGTTGTCGCTGTTAACTCTGGTGCCACTCTTCACTGTGCATCGAAAGAAGACGTTTACCGTACCGAGGAGGGGTACATACAGGGATACATGCAGACCGAGGGGCAACCACATTGTATGGGGACACAAGATTTCTTACGGCTAAAGATTCCGTCGGATTTCACAACACACTAAATTACTATGTAGGTTTTTCTGCGCGCTAATGCACGAAATTGTACATGCACTTCGTAACGCACGAATTTGTGCGCGATAATGCACGATTTCGTGCGCAAGTATGCAGGAAATCGTGCATTGTCGCGCACAAATTCGTGCGTTTGGAAATGCATGTACAATTTCGTGCATTAGCACGCAGAAAAACCTACATAGTAATTTAGTGTGAAGATTTTAACCGACATTCAGCTCACTGTAAATGTCTTACGGTGAAAGGCTGCACCAACGTATTATGGTGGAGATTCTCTGCATAATACCAACGAAATTCGTCAAAATATCTGTAGTGCACAGTGAATTCTGAATGGTATGTTACGAAGTCAGCTGCACCACCATAATATGGAAACATTTTCACCATAACATGGAGAATCTTCATTGTACAACATTTAGAGTGCTCAAAATTAGTTAGTTTTTGGCCTTTTTAGGGGCAAGATTTTAGATTTCCCATAGATTTCTAGCGCTAAGGGGACACAAGATTTCTAGATTGGTTGTCCCCTCGATGCAGACACCGTACCTCAAGAAACGGAGTTTACTATGCCCGCGTGCACTCTCATTCCAGGAACGTGACATCACGTTGAAACGAACGTGACAAAGTGTCACGTTCGTTTGAGCATTGTGTCACGTTCGTTTGGATGTGAATGAGCTGATTTTCGGCCAATTCACACCCAAACGAATGTGACACAATGCTCAAACGAACGTGACAGTTTGTCACGTTCGTTTCTGTCACGTTCCTGGAATGAGAGTGTGGAAGGATCTGTAGTTGAACTGTAGATCAAACAGGATACATGTATCCTGGGAACCCGTATCTACTGTACCTTGGAATCTGCTCAGAAACTGAATACAATTTAAATATAAAGTAAAGGCAAAACTAAAAATCCGCGATAGAAACGATTCGATGGCTAAAATGAGTTCATCGCAACAAGACGAACAAAAAAAAAAAAAATCTGCATGTTATGGGCTCAGACTTGAAATTCAACAGCATTCAAATAAAAACAATTGTTTAAACAAGTTTTTGAACAAAAAATTGTTTTCATTTTTTTTTCTTGGAAACTATTGCAGATAAGAAGCCCATTCTAGTCAATTCGGACACTACTAGGGGAGTCTCTCTGATTCCCCCCCCCCCCCCACAGATCTGAGTAAGTATGCAAACAAAATCTTACGAGAGTCAAAATTTTAAACGTTTCTACTAAATATCCAGAAAGTGTCCAAAGTCATTTGACTTTATGCCAAAATGAAGCTTTCTCGATTATCTAAAAAGGTCTTCTTACAGAAATCAAAAAATCTTGATCCTTCTACACAAGAAAAATGTTTTTACAAAGTGCTTGTAACATGTATGAGCCCCCTTATATGAAAGGCACTTTCATGAAGTAAAAAAAAGTCTTCAATGCATGGTGTCACTGCGCGCACGATTTCAGCCAAAGTTCTCAACATTTTTGTAATCGGGAAAAGGCATCTGGAACAGCTTAAAATTTGCCCCCAACATGAACCACGGGGGTTATGTCGGGCGAAAAATACTACTAGATATTTAGTGTCGAACAAGGAAAACTTATTCAAATGAAAATTTGTGAGAAAGGACATTAGTATCGGACAAGAAAAACTTATTCAATGGAAAATTTGAGGGAAAGGACATTTTTCTACCAGTTTCACCAGTTTCACCAGGGCGTGGCGTGTCCATGACTACGAGAGTCGAGGGGCATACCACAGCGTAAGTTATCTCCACGCAACTTTCACGTCATTCGCGTGTCAGAGTGCATGGAATTCATTCTCATTAGGTTAAAAACTGCATGCTCTGCAAACTCAAGTGCACTTCTTGGTGCATGCCTGCAGGCACACACTTGCTTGTTTGCATGCATTAGCGACGGCAAGTGTGTTCCCGAGGCATGCGGCAAAGAAGTGTGTGCCTGCCAGGCATGCAGAAAAGAAGTGCGTGCCTGCAGGCATGCACCAAGAAGTAGTGCATGCCTGGCGCACACTTGAGTTTGCTGAGTGCACATGTTGCTTTTTCGTGACGAGATGGTTTTCCCCTTCGTGACTCAACGCACCGTATCACGAAAATCTGACTTCTTTTATGCAGCCGCTTGTTTTATAGCATGCATGTCTATGGCTTCTGTCATGTAAGCATGCAGTGGCCGGCTGTAACATTGTAAGCTGTTCTAAAGCGAACCTTCTTTTGCAGACAAATATTGGAGCACTTGCCCGCACTGCCAATTAATTTAAAATACCGGTCATATCGTACCACGTGTGGTCGCTGCTTGACGTCTTCGAATTTTCCTCGGACTATGAGGAGTAAGTCATTCCGCGTTCCCTAAACTGTTCACAGTTACTATTTACAAAGTGATTATAATGGCACGCAGCGTTAATATAATAAAAATCTACTTGGAGAAAAGCAACGCTCAATTTACAAAATTTTCCGGTGTGTCAATAATTTTTAGCCTCTTGGAGACACGCAGTGGTCATCTTTATTATTGACATCCCGGGAGAGCTGTCTGTTTGGTTCTGCTGTAACGGCACAAAAGAATTCCTGCTCTCCAATAATTACGTGAAAAGTATTTGCACCAACACCTCAACTAAAAGTGTGGCAAAATGCACCCTTCAGCACGCCAGTGAAAAGCAGCTCATGGTTTCGGAATAACTTCGCAGTCGAACTCTACGCACGCAAGTGCACTCGGGCTGTTCCTCGTTCGACTTAACGTCCCCCGGTACCAGTAGCGCCCGTACGGCAGAATCGGAATGTTGGCTAACGTCACGTTCACCGCACGAGGCTCTGGTACAAAGTAGGTTCCCTGCAGAAAGAGAAACGAGTAGAAAAGTTTGATACGTAAGGGAGCACTCTCGTGACGTCACGTTGAAACGAACGTGACAAAGTGTCTCGTTCGTTTGAGCATTGTGTCACATTCGTTTGGATTTGAATCAGCCTTAAATAAGCTTGTTCACGTTCAAACAAATGTAACACAGTGCTCAAACGAACGTGATGTCACGTAATTGGAATGGGAGTGAGCGCGCACCCTCACGCAGGCCCCGAAGATTTGATGTTTTGTTTGACATGTAAGTTAACACAGTTTACATTAGAATTTCATCAACGATTTGGACAAAAGTTGGGAATCCTACCCAAAGCAAGTGAAAAGGGGACTGTTTTAGAAGTTCTTGCGCCGGGTACTCCGTTTTTCGGAGCGCGTTTGAAATCTGCTGAACAGCAACAATTTTGCGAACTGAGTTGAGTTGGCAGATGTGCAAACATCAGATGCCCGTCATTGCCGGATTTGGCAATGGTTTTTAGACTATCTGGTGTAGCGACTCAGGGAATGGGACTAAATCGGACGTAAAACGGGTCCGACAAAAGTCTTGTTTCACTCTTGTCCCAAAACGTGACTAAGAAGAAAGCGAAACAGGACGTTAATTTTGGACCGGCAAATGTCATGGTGCACCCGCACGCATGTGAACGCCTACTTCCGGAATAAACTCTAAAAAAATATAAAAAAGTACTGCAAATGAAAATAATATTTGTGAAACAAAATTTTGTGTGTTTTCAAACCAGCGCAAAATGGTGCAGTACACTAAAAATCAAATAGTGATTCATCTCACTTTCTGAGGAGTGAGACATAACTGTCTCACCGAAAAAGGGTGATACTAGAATGCATCACCGAAAAAAATGGTCGTACACGCATGCATCACCGAAAAATAGGTCGTACACGAATGTATCACCGGAAAAAAGGTCGTACACAAATGTCTCCGGAAAAAAGGTGTTACTTCCCCAGGAAAACAATGGCCAATCTCGCTGATGTCTCACCTTTCTTTTCGGTGATACATTTGTGCACGACCCTTCTTCGGTGATACATTCGTGTACGACCTTTTTTCGGTGATACATTCGTGTACGACCATTTTTTCGGTGATACGTTTTGTATCGCCGAAAATTGATGAGGTGTCTCACCCTTTGAATTACAGTGTAGATTTGGGGTGGAAAAGTCTAGGTGCCGGAGGTGCTAAAAAACCATGTATCACAAGCACATTGGTACATTCATAATCTGACGCCGTGAGAGGCCGAAGGCGAGATTTACTTTGCAAATGCGATACTCGTGATTAACACTTGTTAAATTTGTCCATCGAAAATACTTGAAGCACCTACCTTAGGTAAAACACAAGGAGCCGTCCTGTCCGCTACCGGCCCTCCGGTCACCTCCGCGAAAAGGCGATACAAGTCAGGGATGTTCTCACGAATCACCGAGCACCCTTTGCGTGGAATATTGAAAACGAAAGCGTTTTCTTTCCATTGGTTATTAGATCGTATGGCCATAGTACCAGCTGCCTGAAACATAATGCAGGAGCACAACTGATGAAGATAGAATTTTGAAGAATCTGTGCGAGGGGGTAAACACTCGCCTAATACCCTGTACACAAAAACCGTGTATTACGCGTCATACACGTAATTGTAATACCATTTTTTGGCTAAATATGCCAAATTTTGGCACTATAGTGCCGTAATACACGAGTAATGTTCCCGAAATACAGCGTAATACCGAGTACTCTGTACACGATTTCGTGGAGTGTTTACCCCCTCGGATATATGTTTCCCATCCAGGGGCCTCACCCATCTTTACTACATAACCCATCGTCACTATGTGTTGATCTTTAATAAGTGTAAAGTGGGAATAAGTGTTACAACAACAAAGGATGAGAAATAAAAAACAACAACTTGAAAAATGTCTAGTTGATAAGGGTTCCTGTTAACTGAGGAAATTCTTCAAATGATTCCAATATTGTACTATCAGATTTCGTCTTAAAATGTGACGATTCTTTGTACCATTTTGTACCACCAGCAAGATAACAAAATATTTAATTCAAAATGCATAGGAAAACTGCCACTTGTGTCGAGTTGTGTTGCTTTTAGACTTTCCTAGAATTGCCAGATTTTTGACAGGACTTTCGTGACATTCTATTGACGTTTGTCAGTGATCATGTAATGGATTGCACATGCAGATTAGAACGAATGATGTCCACAATGTGAACACCAATCCATTTCGTTCCAAAAGTCTGCGCAATGAGACAAAACATATCCGAAAGTATCTTCATCTTCGTGGTCTATAGACCTTTTTTTGCTAACGCATACCTAACCTCACCTTACCCAATATCCGTCCTTAAAATCTTCTTTCAATGTTATATTTCCTGTGGCCGTCTGCAGGTCGTAAGGTCTTTTGGGGTTGAAGTGACTTATTCGGGCATGTACCACGAATACCCCTTGTGATTGGCATGGGTTGTATCGATGACTGAATACGATATACGGACCCTGAAAAACACAAATAAGGGCGCGATGGCTTCCAAGGTAGTCTGGAGAGAAACGTGAACCCTGTCCTCGTCGGGTGGGGCTCCCCCGAGCGGCGAACTTCTCATACTTTGGCCAAAACGGGAAAAGAGTTGCGCGTAGTTTGTCATCCGAACTCAATTTTCCGTAGTGGTCTTGACGCGGGGCAGGGTTTGAATTTCAAAAACCCAGTAATGTTGGTCGAGACTTCTTTGATTCTTCTATGACATGGGCTGTGAAGCGGAAATGGCCATGTGTCCGACCATTAAGTTTTCAGTGGACTTACACACATCGTGCATTCATACCTATAATTTTAAAGTGCATAATTATGCATTTAAAAAGCCCAAAAGGATTTAGCGGGGAGTAAATTAGACAAGTTTATAGGTATACAGGTAAAATATAGTACGACCAAAATTTTTATTTCAAGTTTTATGTTATATCATACATTAGAGGGTGTTGATAAGAGTGATATTTTCAGCATTTTGAGCCGGAGCTCCGGTTTGGAGCAGAAACGAAATGATCCAGGAAGCGGAAGAAGGGGATAACTCAATTTTGGCCATTTTCCAGGAGAAACCAAAAACTGTTAGGAGGGAAAACTAAAACAAAACAAATGAATGTTGACAAGGTTAATAATTTCAAAAAGCATTAGTAAAATTTTGGAAAAAAAATTAAAAGTGTAAGGTCACTCCGTAGAGGATTTCTGCAACTTATCGCTTTCCGTTGAAATGGAAAGCAGAGTCAGCTCACCTTATATTTCCTAAACAAAGAGGAATTTGGAGACGAGTCAAGTGGAACAATAGTCTGCATAAAGTGTATGTTACTCTGGTGTATTTTTTGGACTTAGCTCTTTTTTCCTAATTGAAATTGAAAATTAAGGGGGGGCTAAGTTGAGTTGATTCATTTTACACAAGATTCATAAAAATACAAGTTGAGTTACATTCTTTTGCTAATTAGTCAAACGGACTCATGTGGACTTCCGTTGACTTATCTCCATTTTCCAATGAAATTTAGACTGTAAAAGGGGTTAAGTTGAGTTATACCCTTTTTCCATGTGGATTTTCTCCTAAACTGCTTGGAATTCAGTCAAATAATTTGGTGTAATGATGGAAACCATTCTAAGGCACAATATTAAAATACAAACTCAATTTGGGGATAAGTCAAGTTATTCCCTTCTTCCACTTCCTGGATCAAATAGTACGAACAAATTTATTGTTTCCGCTTTGGCATTAATTCATTCGTCTAACATGGCTTTCTATGAGGGGAACTTTGCTAATTCCTTGTTATCCTTCTGCACTATCTGAAAGGGAATTATGTAGTCAGAATAACTTACTGCGAAGGAATTGATTGTTTTGCTCTGGACAAGGGAAAGGAGGGCGGGCGCCAACAGGATCGCAGCGAGCGGTGGCATGGAGAAGTCTCGCCGCCCGCCTTCGGCCCTAGCTGCTCCGAGTGTCCGAGGGGAAAGCGGGTTCATTCGCTGGCAATGAAAGCATCGAAGCGCTGACGAAGCTGGTTCGTCGTGTGCACTACAAACCTAACTGTCTACTAAGTACACACTTACAAATGCGTGCTTGCAAGTACACACTTACAAACGCATGCTTGGCCAAGTACACACTTACAAATGCATGCTTGCAAGTACACACTTACAAACGCATGCTTGACGCATGGAGTTATACGGCGTCAAGCATGCGTTTGTAAGTGTGTGCTTGCAAGCATGCATTTGTAAGTGTGTACTTGGCCAAGCATGCGTTTGTAAGTGTGTACTTGTAAGCACGCATTTGTAAGTGTGTACTTAGTAGACAGTTAGGTTTGCAGTGTGGTCACGCACTCGTGGGATCGTCGCATTGAGGTGTAGGAGACCAAGCGATGGAGCACTGGATCAGTGTGCACTGAATCGAGACCGTTCTGTGCTGTGTTGCGCGCCGAGACAGGCCGTGACGCAGTAGTAGTGGGGAGCTGAAACAAGAGGACGCAGCCTGCACCGCCTGTCCGAATGGCCGATGACAAAGGCCAGTGCACGGTCAAAATGTTGCCTTGAAATCCGGCTGGATGCCTCGAAATATTTTCAAGGGCCTCCGTTTATTTCGTTGATCAAACTTGATCAGTTAGCAGCACTGGCTTCTTCCCGGCAAGACAAACAAACAAGGGCGGTCATTCGGTTGGATGGGAAAGTAGTCATTGACTTAAAACATTATGCAAAATAGCCGAGAAGGCCGTTTTAGAAATTTGATTTGACCTAAATGCGATTCATCATGTGCGGACGGCAAGCTCCTGTTCGACATGTGCATACTTTTTTAGAGTTGTCAGTGCAGTAATTGTGTCGTGTAAGAGTCGTATGCGAACAAAAATACATTGAATAGATACAGTTTGAATAAAGGGCAGAAATGACTACAAAATAGGAACTCGTCGGGCTTACAGATCAAATAGAAATTAAATTTGACAAGGATCAGTAACAAAAGGAGTACATGCAATAGAGTAGAGTACAGGATTCTGCGTAGCAGTTTTTGCGTGCCTACTCTACAAACTTAAGTGTGTACTCGGTATGCATCTACAAATGCATACTTAGCTGAGTACACGTCTACAGATGCATACTCAACTGAGTACACATCTGCATATGCATATTTGGATGAGTTAGGTATGCATCTGTAGGGTAGGTGTGTACTCAGCCAAGTATGCATCTGTAGATGTGTACTCAGCCAAGTATGCATCTGTAGACGCATACTGAGTACACACTTCAGTTTGTAGAGTATTTTCATCGATTAAAATAGGATTCAAAAACTCATTATCGGCCATTGTTGCCCGAAAGGGAAGCCCAACACCACTTTGCCCCGCCCCCCCTCTTTTCTCCTCTCCCTTGTTCGCCATTCTGCTGTAGTTATTCATACCATAGACTGCTCTTACATGCTACTAAAGATTTAAGTTTGTTTGAATGGGCAGGAAGATTCAAATGGACCTTTGTTTTCCAAAACCTCCCCTTACCAATAGTATTTCTGAAGATTTTCTTGAGAGCACTTTTTTGCAATGGGGTTTCGCCCCCCCCCCCCTCTCTTAGCCCCTAGATAGCCGCCTGAAAGGTATGCAAAAAGTGCTACTTCGCCCCCCGCATAGGCCGCCTCTCACAGAAAAAACCAAACGTGGTCTAGACCACACCATTGGTGTGGTCAAATGGGTGCCATTTTGACCGCATCAGTTTGTGTGGTCTAGACCAGCGGTTCCCAACCTTGGGGTCATAGTAGAATTGTTCAAAACGGTCGAAAATGCCTTTGAAAACTCGTGTTTTAGGCCGACTTTGAGAAGCAACTGCGTCTGATCCGAGGCGGTATTTCGTCCTCCCTCAGCGGGCATTTGGTCTTTGGACCTTCCTTTAGCATGTCTTTGTTACGGAGTGCGATTATCGGCCTTAGTTTGGGAGCAGTATTGTCTCAAAGTTGATGAAAACAGTATAAAATGCCTTTGAATGCCATTTTGATCCACTTTGAGACAATACTGCTCCCAAACTAAGGCCGATAATCGCACTCCGTAACAAAGGCATGTTAAGGGGGCACACCAGTGAAAATCGTCTAATTTTTGCCTTCTCTTTCATTTTATCTTAATTTTCTGCTATTCATCCCGAGTCGAATGCCGCAAACCCCACCCCGAAATTCCGATTACTTTGGCTTGTGCACATTTTTGAAGTTGCTAAAAAGGTAATTATTTATGCATATTTTTGACCAATTGTCAACGTTCAGGTTTTTCAATTGACCTTCAATTACAAAACCCTTGAAGCACCCAAACGCAGTTGAAAAGAGGAACATTTTGGCATAAACTGAACTAAAATACGTCAAAAGACGCATTTATAATCCGAAAAAAACACGTCAAATCTATGTTTTCACTTATAGGGCTTTTTCTCAAAACACCTTTTTTGAACCTTTGTGCCACTCTCACGGGCGCAAAAATTAAGATAATTTAATGCGGTTTGCGGCAAAATGTTCGTTACACTTGCGTTTATGGTCTGAACCTCGGAAATGGCCATCCCATAAATAGGACGTGAGCTGCAGCCATGAAAGTGTGAAAAAATTGGTTAAAAAATTTGTTTCTATTTTTGCCTTTTGAAAAAACAAATTCAAAATCATTCTTTTTGCATGCCCGTGGTTCAGACCATAGCCACATGTGTCCTGTTGAGAAATTTTCAAATCCCGTGCGCGAAGCTCAATCCAGAGAGGCGGAATCGTGGCAGGAGTGAGGCAAGGTCGCAGAAAAACGAAGTGCACTAGCGCTTCATCTTGCCATCGCCACCTCGCTCTCCCGTACTGATTTTCCTTTTCTTTGACATAATTTTGAGCCAAGAATAAAATATCAATCGAATACATCGGTTACTTTTCTCAGAATGATCGATTTTCGAAACCTCTGCATTTTCACTGGTGTGCCCCCTTAAAGGAACACGGTAAAAACGGAACCTGGTTTTCCCAGGAGCCCTATGGTGAAAACATAGGTGATTTCCAGGATGTTCCTGGGAAAACCAGGAACCGTTTTTACCGTGAAGGTCCAAAGACCAAATGCCCGTTGAGGGAGGACGAAATACCCCCTCGGATCAGACGCAAAGGCTGCTTAAAGTCGGCCCAAAACACGATTTTTCAAAGACATTTGAGAACGTTTTGATCAACTTTGTGGCAATACTGCTCCCAAACTAAGGCAGATAATCCACTCCGTAACAAAGGCATGCTAAAGGAAGGTCCAAAGACCAAATGCCCGTTGAGGGAGGACGAAATACCTCCTCGGATCAGACGCAGTGGCTGCTTAAAGTCGGCCCAAAACACGATTTTTCAAAGACATTTGTGGCCGTTTTGATCAACTTTGCGGCAATACTGCTCCCAAACTAAGGTGGATTATCGCACTTTGTATCAAAGACATGCTAAAGGAGGGGTCGCGTGGGGTCGCGAAATTTTTCCTGGGGGTCGCGGAAATTTTTTGTATCAAATTTGGGGTCGCGAACCGAAAAAGGTTGGGAACCGCTGGTCTAGACCACGTTTGGGCACGTTTGGTGAGGTCTAGATCACGTATGGTGTGGTCTTTCCATGCAACTGCAGTCCCGGCGACACAGGCGAGGCAGCCACACTCTAAAAAATAATATAGGATTTTGTAACGACCTTGATACAAAATTCTGTAACACGTCAGTCGGATACAAAAATTTGTATCCTTGATCCTAAATTCTGTATCACGTCAAGAATGTTACGAATTTACGAATCAGTGCTTCAAAATTCTAAAACTGATACAGAATTCTGTACTTTTCGTTTCAATATTCACAATCAGTGATATAGTTCCATGTAAAAATGCGATCTTTATGCAAATAACTGTAACTGATACAGAAAACCGTAACATATCGTTACAAGTTTACATATCGTCTGATGCAAAAATTAATAACGCAAATTTAAAGTCAAATTACGAGCTTAATTTTAACATCACAGTTGAACGGGCGAAAAGTCCTAACGTGGGGCATGGTACTCTAGAAGCTTCGGGCCAGGAACTCTAACTGTCGCGCCGCAGGGCTCGTTTCCACCACTACCTGGGCATGCAGCGTGCCCGCTCGGTGTCATCGACAGTCTGCGGCGTGTCTCCCCATACGGCGCTGTGGCGCAAGCGGTAGCATGCCGAGCAGGCAATCCGGGGGACCGGGGTTCGGTTCCGGAGTACGCAGTTCGGTTTCTCCGGGTGTTCGGGAGTACAGGAGCGACGCAGCGAATGTGTAGGAACGAACGATCGTTGAGGTTCAAATTTTGTTTTTAAAACGACAAATTTTTATGATTTTTGCATTGCAGAATTCTGTAACCGGGAAACAGTTTACCGTAACGCGTGATACAAAATTTTGTATCAGTGCTGATACAAAATTCTGTAACATTTGTAGTGGAAATTACTGCGTAACCATGTTACAGAATTTTGTATTGAAATTTTTTTGAGTGCACGCCGCCGCTGGCCGGGCGAGACGGTAATGTGGGTTGCCAACCTGCGGGTGGATGGTGCCGTCACTGTAAAAAAATTGTAGTCAAATTCCTATACATGTAGTATCATTAAATAAAGGCGATATGCTATTAACAGCCAAACTGGAAGGCATATAACTGCAAATGTCACTCATTAGCTTGGGATCTTTTTATAACACTCTACAAAAAATGTCCTGTCAACGCCGTTAATTTATTACCAATGTTTGCTGTTATGCAATTCACGGCGTTTGCTGTGAACTAGTTCACGGCGTTCACTGTGATCTCGGTTACAGTGTTCACTGTGATCTGGCCACAGTAAACGCCGTGAATTGGAGCCTGATTTGCAGTACTTCGGTGCTCATCGGCGTCAAACTCACAGTGTTTACTGGGGACCAGATCACAGTGAACACCGCGAACAAGATCACAGTGAATCCCGTGAGCAGATCACAGTAAACGCCGTGAATTGACCTACAATGAAAACTGGTAAAAAATTAACGGCATTTACAGGACATTTTCGGTAGAGTGAATGACCCCTACCTAGAGAAAAGTTTACGAAGAGATATACTAATATCGAATAGTTCGTCGGTTTGGAACGGAATGCGAAATCGTTCATATGTCTTGTCACTGATCTCCATCGCCGGAAACGTTTTGTGCCGCAACACACACACACACACTCAGAGAGAGAGAGAGAGGGACTCTAAGTTCAGCGACACCTCAGGCCACGCCCGAAACAGCTGTTGATGCTTCGCGCGCAACCGCTGCTGGGCCACCAGGTGACTCACGCCAGCTCTGCGCGCTCCCGAGCCAGAATCTATTGCGCAACGACGCGAAAAGCCGCGCGCCGCCTCCCGTCCCTTTCCCCTCGCCCGTCCAGGCTCCCCCTCCACCCCCCTCCACTCGGCGGCATCGACCCAAGGCCGCCGCAGCTCCGCCGGCTTGTTTTGCTTTGCTCGCTAGTGCGGCCGGCGCGGCCGGCGCGGCGCGACGCGGCGGACGTCCGTTCTTCACAGTGCAGGCGTGGCGAGCCAGCCAACACCATCGAGTCGACTGCCGGACGATCACAGGGCAACACCGAGCCTGCACGCCGTCGTCGGCTTCCTTCAGAGACGAGCCGTGGAGCCAACCACAGGTGTGTGTGAGTGTGTGTGAGTGTGTGTGTGTGTGTGTGTGCGCGCGCGCGCGCGCGCGTGTGTGTGTGTGTGGTGTGTGTGTGAGTGTGTGTGTTTAACGTGGTGCAATACGTTAGAAAAGTTTTCATCGCATCAATTGGTGCGATGCTGCCACTGAAAATCCAACTATGAATACAGCGTCAATTGGTGCAATGCGTTTGCATAAAGTGAAATTCCCATGCATTAGCAAAGGGCATTTTCTGGACGCTTCGCACGTGTGGTGCGATGTCCTCAATGCACTACGTTTATAGCGCCTGAAATCACAGTGTGTTACGCGAGAAAAACTAAAGCGTTACATGGTCCCGCGAGGGGGTATGCGCTCCCTGAACCTGTGTACCGACTATTACGCTATTGCGCTCTATTACGCCACAAATTAATCGGAATTTAGCTAAAATCGGCCTAAAACACACCAAAATTGATAAAATTTTGACAATTTCGGCTATGACGCGACTATTACGCGTATTATTACGCGTGCTATTACAGATAGAGTGAACCGACCATTACGCGAGTGCATACCCCCTCGTGGTCCCGTTTCATGAAGCGTTCAGTCCTTACGCCCTTCTTGGAGCACCAGAGGTCGTGCTCTTCCTCCTAAATGCATTTTAGGATGTATGCACCTTGAAGGAAACTGCCTTGAAGCGACCTTGCAGCTACGCAAGAGGGGCGTAAGATCTGGGGCGGGAGTCTTCATCGGCAAAGAGTCGACGGATCGGGACCGGACTTCGACTCTTTGCCGACACGAAAACCGAACAGCACATGTTGGAAGACAAAAGATCCGGTAGTGCTCCGAGCTCGGGAGGGCCATAAAACCATTGTGGCTCGAGCTCGCCCCCGCCGCATAAGCGGGGACCGTCGCACAAAGTCGACTCTTTGCCGGTCGACTCTTTGCCGATGAAGACTACATCCTGGATAATTTTTTTGCCAAACTTTACCGTACTTGCAAAACCAGTATCCACCGCACAGCCTACAGTATTTGAATAATCAAGGACTGCGAATCGTGTCGCGTTTCTACCAACGGCCGCCTTCCGCCCGGCAAGGCGTTGACGTGCGTACGGGACGCAGTCTTCAAAGGAGAATGACATGACTGTCATTCTTTTGAAGTGACGTTTAGGTCAAACTTTTTCTTCATCAGTGAAAGTGTCGCGGCAGCGCCAGCACGCTGGTTTCAGTATACATCGCTGGTTAGTATTTAAAATATCTTACCTCACGTTTTCCTGAAAAAAAAAAAAATGTGTTTGTCCTCTCGGGAAACCTTGGAAACCCTAAGGTTATTCTAACTTTGATTATTTTGACTTGGATTGGAGATCGGAGAGAGCACGGGCCGAAATTCTATAAGCGTCACTAGTTTCTTGATCTTTCCACTTTGAAGCCAGTGGGTGGATAGCGTCCAGGCTGTGCCAATTCGCTGAAAATCTATCGGCGTGACTTCATGCCGTTTTAGGGGCGTAAATAAAGTGTCATTCAAACAATCGTCGTGACTAAAAAAATCACATTCAACGAACGTTAATGAAAGCAGATGATACTCGTTTGGTTTTCTTATACGGGGTAGTATGCGGGCTCATTCGAAAGATAGTATTTAAAATTGTGTATGAAACAAAATACATAGACCCGAGCGAGCTGGCCGGTGTAGGTACTTTGGTACCGGTGCCGGTTTTTGGCATGACTTTTCTCAAACGCATTGTCATTCTCGCCAGATGACGGCTCTCATGTCATGCCGTTAGTCTGACCATTACGTTTTCAGTGTAAAACTGTGAGTTAATCTGATTTTGGGAACGGGCTAAATCGTTTTTCAGGAAACGCTAAGATAAGATCTTTCGAATATGGACGGAAACAGCGACATAGCTCTGCCTCACACACTGCAAGCTGTCCCTGGGATTTCCAAGCGACTCCTGGGAAAAAGTCCACTGTCAGGATAGGCCTGGGAATCACAAGCACTGCTTTTGCCGTGCAGTGGGCAGTAATTTCCCTACGAACTTCCCAGCTTACTACGCACGCGAAGTCCTATTAATGAATAAACTTGGGCTTTGCCTAGTTAACTTCCCATTTGACGAATGATTTGTAATGACGTAACTTGTCTCACGAGATAGGTCAATTTTTATATGAGTATGAGTATTCGTCTACTAAAAACTATTTTTTCTACGACGCGTCTTTTAATGTGCACGGTTAACTGTAATTTACAAGTAATTCCTTCCGCAAATCGTAATTTAACCAATCAAGTTACGGTGTGTTCCCCCTCTGGCTTCTATCTTGGTTTTCATAAAATTAGGAACTATGAACGGTTGTCCTGTGTACTGATATGCACAACTTCATTGACGACCCTTGTCTTCTTCTGTGCAGGATCCTCTGGAGCGAAGAGCCGTGTCAGCATGGCAGGAAGCGAGCCGCGCACGGCAGGGCGCAGCACGGGCGGAAGTGGCAGTAGCAGTGGCAGGTGCGAGCCAGGGAAACGCAGAACATGCGTGCTTCATTTTGTTAGTTCTTCTAATAACTTGGGATGTTCAAGACGCACTGTGCGAAAAAACTACAGTGAGTCCTGGTTATTTTTTGCCACGATTCACTGTAGTTCAGAATACATAATTTACTGTACCTGGCTACAGGATTCACGGTAACTTGTTCAGGATTTTCCGCACTCCACCTCTGTTGCACAGTAATTCTCGTAGAAGTACAGTAGATCCTGAGTAGTGAAAGCTGTACTTATCTTTACAGGATTTACTCTAGTTTTTTCGCACAGTGCATTTTCATTGAACTTTAAATGGAAAGGACAAATATGGCGAGACCAAAAGTTTTGCCAAGTTTTGGTCAGACCTGGAAGTCTTGTCAAAATTTGGTGAGACAAATATTTCTCGCCACAAAATGGTGAGACTTTTTTGCCTAATCGCTGAACAGGCCACATATGGGCCGTTTTGACTGGATTCAAACTTCTGATCTCTTTGTGGTCAGATAAAAACGTCTCGCCGTTTTGTGGCAATATGCGAGGGGTACCTCACCTCAAAAGTAGGTACTGGTCGGAGACTGCACTGAGTTTTCGCCTTGATTCAATTGAAAATTTCCCGAAATCTGTTACGAAAATGCTTCAAATAGGGCAAATTTACGTTGCTTGCTGTGCTGGCTTTTTAAGTAACCAGACTGAAAAAAGACAGTGACTTAAATCAGAGGTGCACACTGACTGGACGAAGTGAGGGACCTCTCGCACCACGTTTGGCCAAAAATTGTCAAGACTTTGAGTCTGGAGCTCTAGAGTGGCGGAAAGTGTGACTTTTGGATTTGTGTTGTTTCAATTGGTTATCCTTCGTCGATATCAAAACTCGTCTAATGCTGAGCTCTTTTCCAGGTCGAGGAACGAGCTGTGGCGCCTGCTGACGGAGTACTGCACGCCGCGTCGCGACTGCGGCGTCACTCTTCCCTCCGGACCCTGCGGACGGATCCACGTCAAAGACAAGCGCGTCCAGATCATCGTAGAGCGGCGAGAATACTTGCATAGCAGCGTTTGCTCGGACAAGGACTGTGAAACGACTGCTGAAAAAGTCTTTTACAAACATCCAGAAAAAAGAAAAGCCTTCTTGGGAGACGGAAAGTTTTGTGAACAACCAAATCCTGCTCTTGTAGCCAAAATTCAAAAGGCGCTTACAGACTTAGTAGATGAGTTTGCAAGTACTGTCAAACCAGGCAAAGAAGGAAATACTGAAGATCTACCAGTGCTCTATGAATCATGCTATCAGGGTCCTTGCGATGAACTAATCTATTTGTTGGAGTTTGGAAAAATTGGAGCTCTCGATCGTTACACAAAGGATGAATATGAAAAAGTTATGCATTGCTACCCAAGCCAAGCTATCGGGCACCACTTGTCTTTCTTCATGCATTACATAGTTCATTTTTTCATAGGAACAAAGTTGTTACTGTACAATAACGTGGAAAAGGCTCCTAAATTGCACTGGATGTACGATCATGCTTGTGGTGGTCAAACGTTCCTGCCTTACCAGCGAAAAAACTTGCGTTTGTGGATGAAAGACTTGGACGTGACGACAGAAATGTGCAAAGCGGTTTTCCGCTGCATTTACCTCTATGTTTATTTACGACGTAAATTTGAACCGGACTACAACATAGAAACTGATGACTCTTTAAAACTAGGGAATGAAGAGATTATTTGGTTGCGTTGTTTTCAACAGGGTTAACCTGTTAACATGTGTAAACTTGATAGAGCCTATTTTGAATGCACGAAAACAGGTATACAAGCAAAATGATTTGTCACGTTAATCAGTGAAATTTAAGATACGTTATATTATTGTATGGGATATCAAAATAGGCCGGCAAGTGCTGGAAATCGCTGTTTAGTAGGGCTCTAACTTTACCTGAACCTAAATCTTGACCCTTTGGGCTTGTTTTCTGACGCATAGGCGGTACAGAAGGAGTAACTTTCAGGCGAACAGAGAGGTGACATTTAATCTGCAATCTTGTTAGAGCTGCCATTAAATGTGATCCGTGCAGATAGGAATCGTACCAAAATAAATATCAATTCGTTTTCTCCTATTTTTTTTTATTTCTTTGCCCTACACGATACAAATTTAGACACTACAAATACAATTCACTCCAAGGTATAATTTACTTTTCACAATCACTGACGCTTCCTCTGAGAGCGGAAAAGAGACCGATATAAATACTCTACTCAAGGTACTTTATGTCTATCACTGGTATTTCTAATGTGATAAGTTTCATACAATTTGCTGCGGTAAAAAGGCTAGTGTGATTCCTTTAAATTATCGCATCTGTGGTAGCAATAAAAAAAAATTATCGCATTAAAAATGCTATAAGTCTCTTAGGTTTTGGCCGATCTGGGCCCAGATTATCACAGCTTTGGTGTGATAAAATGATAACTGCGCTAATAAAGCTAATGCAATACAATAAATATTGCACTTATAATGCAATAACTTTTTCATGGCTCTACCAATGCAATAAAAATGTTGTTGTTTTTTAAATGAGTCCATTATTACACTTAGAAAATCAGTGATTGCACCATGCCTTCGTTTCGAAGTGAAGGGGATTCGGCCCTGCTAAAACTAAGACTTTACTCTCTCATTCCAGAAGCGTAACATCAGTTTGATACGAGCATGAAAACATTTCGCGCTTCGAGGTTTGTGTCACGCTTGTTTGAATGTCAATCAGCCCCAAATTGGCTTTATTCGCTCACAAAGGAGCGTGACACAACGCTCAAGGGAGTGTGATTCATGCCCCCCTTAACGTGCCCACGCTCTGAAACAGACGTGACCCCCTTCTGAAGGCGTCCTGAGCCGTGGGAACATCGAGGCGCTTTGTGCGCACGCTTCAAGAAAGGGGAACGTTATTCAAGCGTAGCTGTTCGCTTTACACTCTCATCCCAGGAACGTGACGTCACGTTGAAACGAACGTGACATGTCACGTTCGTTTGAGCATTGTGTCACATTAGTTTCAATGTGAAAAAAGCTAATTATTGGCCGATTCACACCCAAACGAATGTGACGCTCGACCGAACGTGACATTTTGTGACGTTCGTTTCGACGTGACGTCACGTTCCTGGAATGAGAGTGTAGGCTTTAATGGAAACTTTGGTTTGAGACACAATCAACGAAGCCGTTCGCGCTGATACGCGGGCTTCACCGCAGTCAGTCGCCGCACGATTGCCATGCGCTTGAACTTGGCGCCACATCACTTTTATCAGTGTGGTGTCGCGAGACGGCGCTGCCGTTGGCAGTGTACGTCCATGGTGCCTTTTCAAAATATCTTATCTCGGCGTTTCCTCGAAAATGTCTTACCGATTCGTTCCCGGGATATCGCGGAAACACGCCGCATGTCGCAGGCATGTGCATTCGATCGGCGGAGTCGATTTGTGTGTGGGGTCCCAAGGGATAAAACTCCAAGTTGCAGTTTGCCTGCCTCTTAGGTAGAGGATATGGGTCAGAGAAACGCCGCGTGAGAGGAAGCCTGGGCCTGGGGGCGAGGAGGTAAACACTCGCGTAACACCCTGTCCACAAAAACCCTTTGTATTACGCGTAATACACGTAAATGTAATACCATTTCTGGATCAAATGTACCAAATTTTGGCATTTCAAGGCGGAAAAGCAGGTGTAATATCCCCGTAATACAGCTTAATACCGAGTAGTCTGTGCACAATTTCTTGAAGTCAGTGTTTACGCCCTCGCTGGTGGGTCAAAGAGTGTCCAAAACTGCGAAACGGCCACTTAAATTAGTAATAATTTTACAAATGAAACAGCAATTTTTCAACGATGTCTCGAACTAACGAACGCAAGGTCGTAGTTCACTGAAAATCTAAAGGTGAGACGCCTGGCCCTTTAAAGGCGAGATATATTTGTCTGGCCAAAAAATAGGGCCAGTTTTAAATAGTGCTGATCAGTACTGATGCGTCCGAGTTAGTCTACACTCTCAGCCTGTTATTGACTTTTTGTCCTTTGTTAAAGAGTATTTTACTCAGCGATAAAAAGTACTTTTTCATCAATATCTATGTAAGATTTCGTTCGTTATATTGACTTAAAGTCAATTTGCTATTGACAAAGAGTCAATACGCAATTGACTTAAAAAATAGTCAATAATTGATGACAATTTAGTCTTTATAGTAAACAATATTGTACATGGTTATGCAAAGGAAATACTACATATTATTGCTGCTTAAAAAACTACGTAAGCAAAGGACAAAAAGTTAATAACGGTGAGAAAAAAGTCAATACGAGTCTGAGAGTGTACGAATAGTTGCAATTTCCATTGTGCCACGGTGTGCGGCTCTAAACAGAATAAATGAATTTTTTTTAAATAGTTCGTGATTTTCAAGTCACACTGCGGACTTGATTTTTTTCTCTTTTGGCTTGTTTTTACTTCATCAAGTGCTAGTGACCATTTTCCTAGGTACTGCACAGCACATCTTTTGATTATTACCAACTTCATCGACGATCTCTGTCTTCTTCTGTGCAGGAGCCTCTAAGAGACGTGTCAGCATGCCGGGAGGCCAGCCACGCACTGGAGGGCGCAGTTCAGGCGGAAGTGGCAGTGGTAGCAGTGGTGGCAGGTGCGTAGCGTACCCGGGAAAAATGGAACATGCGTGCGTCGTTAATTTTACGAAGATCCCCTAACTTAGAGGAGTTAGAGAACTGATGAAAAAACTTTAAAATTCAAATCCCAAGGTCGTACGACTTCCCAAAGCCGTGCCCCAAGGATCTAATTATGCGGTCAGGGATGGGTTAATTTTTTTCGATTTTTACCCAAATAACACTTTTCTTACTTTAATTCGGTGATTTTAAGAGCCTTTCGGCGAAAATTCAGTCCGTTTTGATCTATCTTAACTCCTTCATGCTCAAACAGCGGTCTAAACTACCAAAAACGTCGAAAGAAAGCTAGTAGACCTCGAAAAGAATGTAGAAAATGTAACGGTACGAACCCGCCCTTGTTGAAACGGTCAACGGAACATGGCCCAAGAGTAAAAGTGCGTCTTCTTTCCAGGTCGAGGAACGAGCTGTGGCGCCTGCTGACGGAGTACTGCACGCCGCGACGCGACTGCGGCGTCACTCTTCCTTCCGGACCCTGCGGACGAATCCACGTCAAAGACAAGCGCGTCCAGATCATCGTAGAGCGGCGACAATACTTGCATAGCAGCATTTGCTCGGACAAAGACTGTGAAACGACTGTAGAACAAGTCTTTTACAAAAATCCTGATAAGAAAAGACCTGTATTTTCAGACGGAAAGTTCTTTGGACAGTCAAGCCCTGCCCTTGTAGCCAAAATTGAAAAGGCTTTTACAGACTTAATAGATGAGTTTGCAAGTACAGTCAAACCAGGCAAGGAGGAAAATACGGAAGATCTGCCTGTGCTTTATGAATCATGCTGCGCGGGTCACTGCGATGATCTTATCTATTTGTTGGAGTTTGGAAAAATTAAAGCTCTTGATCGTTACACAAAGGAAGAATTTTCAGAAGTCATGAGTTGCTACCATGGTGGCCAAGCTGTCGGGCACCACATGTCTTTCTTTATGCATTATATAGTCCATTTCTTCATAGGAACAAAGTTGTTATTGTACAATAACGTTGAGCAGGCCCCTAAATTACACCGGATGTATGACAGTGCTTGTGATGGTCAAACGTTCCTGCCTTATCAGCGCAAAAACTTGCATTTGTGGATGAAAGATTTGGACGTTACGACAGAAATGTGCAAAGCGGCCTTCCGCTGCATTTACCTCTATGTTTATTGGCGACGTAAATTTGAACCGGACTACAACATAGAAACTGATCGTATTTTAGAATTAGGGAATGGGGAGCGCATTGGCTTCTGGTGTTTTAGCTCTTCTTAAATCACACACAGGTGGTACATGCCAGCCCTAGTTCGCGGCCATAGGCTTGCATGGTTGATGCTGGTTGATACTTAGATAGTTTTTTGTATGAATTGCGGTTTGAATATTTCCTATCTTGATGTTAGCGGAAAGGCGGTGATAATTCGTAGCTCAATCATTAACGGAGATGTGACTGTTCCATGTTTTTGCCGCCTTTTCTGTTTGTTTTCTTTTTCGCAAATCGGTATGATTTGTATGGACGGACATGAATGTACGGACAGTTGCACCTAACGGCGTTAAATGAATCAGTATGTTAACTGTAAATAAGAATTAAAAGAGTTTTTTCAAATTTTAAGTCCCATTCATAACTATTTTTTCGTGTCTCTTTAACATGAACAGCAATTCGCACGTCTATAATTGACGCAAACAAACGCCGTAAAACCACACGATGGGTGTTTGTTACACTCTCAGCTGTTTACTGACTATTTCTCATTTGCAGACGCATTTCTGTAAGCAACCATAATACTTAGTATTTTTTGTCAGTTTTACTTAGCAATTACTAATTACTGTACTGATATTACAGTTTTCTTTGTAAATTACAAAGAAATTTTTAAGTATTTAAGAACAAAATACTAAGTATTATGGTTGCTTACAGAAATACGTCTGCTAATGAGAAATAGTCAGTAAACGGCTGAGAGTGTATGAGCTGCAGCTGCGACATCCGGTATTCCTGCTTCTCTGTTACGGAGGTTTAACATTGTATTACGAATGCGGTTTTGTTCCTTATTGGGGGCACAGAAAGATTAGGTTATATTGCACGGGCATTCCCCTGCACTGAAACCGAGAGTGTGGTGAAGCTACCACATTTGGCTGTGGTGAGACCTTAAGTGTGGTTACCGCATTCTACCCCACGTACAAATGTGGTAAGAATTACACCCCTTTAAATAAGTGGTGCACAAGCCTATAACTTAGCCGTTACCTCGTGTATTGGGTGGTCAAGACCACCCTTTTATGTGGTATGGAGGTCTGACCACATATTTGCTGTGCACTCTAAATGTCTTTACGAAGAAATTTCCCATATTACGAAGGAAATGGCGCAAGCATAATACGAAGGTGGTTTTTCTTTGTATTGCGAAGGTTCTTCTTTGTATCTTACAATGAAAAAGCTAAAAAGATTCGTATTACGAAGGAATATTGCTTCGTATTATGCTTGCGCCGAATTCACTGTAACATACGAATAATATAGGTCAAATTTGATCCAGGAAGCGGAAGAAGGGAATAACTTGACTTATCCCCAAATTGAGTTTTTATTTTATTATTGTGCCTTAGAATGGTTTACATCATTACACCAAATTATTTGACTGAATTCCAAGCAGTTTAGGAAAAAATCCACATGGAAAAAGGGTATAACTCAACTTAAGGGGGCAATACACTGAAAATGGCCCAAAACTGAGTTGTTTGATTGCTTCCATACGCGTTGTTGTGCGTTGTTTAAACTTTTCATGTGTCAAGGCCTTACAAAAAGAAGCATTTTAAGCCCAGAATGGCGTCGATCAGACGACAGGGAGCGGAGCAGCGCCCAATCAAATTTTCGGCAAAAGTCGAACTGGCGGGCATCCCTCAATCCGCAAAAATGTAGATATCTCAACCCCGTTTGCGCCAAAATGAAGGTAATTGAAGCGGCTATAGCGTGAACTAGGATTATGAACATCGAACAATCAAAAGTACAAAAATTTACGAAAAAACCTGTTTTGAACATTTTTACAAAATCTTCAAAAAGTGTTTTTGGATGAAATTTTGTACTTTGGGTTGCTCGATGTTCATAATCCTAGTTCACGCTATAGCCGCTTCAATTACCTACATTTGGGCGCAAACGGGGTTGAGATATCTACATTTATGCGGACTGAGGGATGCCCGCCAGTTCGACTTTTGCCGAAAATTTGATTGGGCGCTGCTCCGCTCCCTGTCGTCCGATCGACGCCATTCTGGGCTTAAAATGCTTCTTTTTGTAAGGCCTTGACACATGAAAAGTTTAAACAACGCACAACAACGCGTATGGAAGCAATCAAACAACTCAGTTTTGGGCCATTTTCAGTGTATTGCCCCCTTAACCCCTTTTACGGTCTAAATTTCATTGGAAAATGGAGATAACTCAACCTTAGTCGACATGAGTCCGTTTGACAAATTGGGAAAAGGATATAACTCAACTTGTGTTTTTATGGATCTAGTGTAAAAAGAATCAACTCAACTTACCCCCCCCCCCCTTAATTTTAAATTTCAAGTTGGAAAAAAGAGCTAAGTCCAAAAAAAAACACCAGAGTAACATACACTTTATGCAGACTATTGTTCCACTTGACTTGTCTCCAAATTCCACTTTGTTTAGGAAATATAAGGTGAGCTGACTCTGTTTTCCATTTCAACGGAAAGTGATAAGTCGCAGAAATCCTCTACGGAGTGACCTTACACTTTTGATTTGTTTTCCAAAATTTTACTAATGCTTTTTGAAATTATTAACATCTGCAACATTCATTTGTTTTGTTTTAGTTTTCCCTGCTAACAGTTTTTTGTTTCTCCTGAAAAATGGCCAAAATTGAGTTATCCCCTTTTTCCGCTTCCTGGATCAATTTCATTGTAAGACATTTAGAGTGTGGTATTCGCCATGAATTTTTTTGTGGTATTATGCTAACCACTGATTTTAAGGGGTATTGACCGCATTTCCACGTGTGGTAAATTTGGGTAACCACAGTTTGGCGCCTAGCACACATTATCTGTAGTCTGATAACCAGGCTTCGAAGGACAGTGTGCATGTTTATGATGAATGAACGATGTATGGGAAAGTCAAGTTTTGTGTACGGTCGCATGAATTTCGGCCACAAGGTTAAGGAGGAAGAACTAGAGAGACCCTTCCATGTTCTTCATTTTATTGACGATTATTTAGCACAAGTGACAAAGTGAGTGTTTTAGCCCTGGGCAAACCCGAACCATATGCATAAAGCTTAATTGTTTAATTCCCGAAAACCGACAAGAGTAAAATTGGTCTCAGTTGCTAAGACACCACTAAGCAGAAAAACAAATGCCAATTGCCAATATTAGATAAATCATACACCGTAGTTAAATATTCCATTTCTGAACCACAACCTTACAATTTAATTGGATGAAACCGAAATTACCATTTAACTGAGACAGACCCAGTTTCCTTCTTCTCCACATATACAGAGTCTTCACTAACAAGTGGAGAGTCACAATCTTCCAGAAATACCCAGGGAGAGAAGATTTTACAACAACGTTATGCTCTCACAATCTTCCAGAAATACCCAGGGAAAGAAGATTTTACAACAACGTTTTGCTCTTTAAAAGTAGGAGTCTTTCCTCCACGCGGTCAAAAGACACTCTCTGTCATACACAATCACTACTTAAAAACCGAAAAAGCGTTCCGGGTTGCGGCGATCTCTTCCAAGTTCCCCAGCGACGTTTTCTTGTGTTTGGGACTGACGGCGATTCGCGTGAGCTCGGTGTGAATCTCCTCCATCTCGTCTAGAAGTTTCTGCCAAATATAGAATGCGTGACAAATTTAGTGATACGCTCTGTAATAATTGAAGACCAAGGCACTTCTCACATTAACACACTAAATTACTATGCAGTATTTTGAGTATGATCTTTTCACAAAGCTGTGCATTCGCTTCAAAGTGCACGAAAAAAATGCGTATTAACGCACATTTGGGAGCGCAGTTACACTGATAGTTCTAATGTGATAAGTTTCATACAATTTGCTGCGATAAAAAAAGGCTAATGTGATTCCTTCAAATGATCTCATTTGTGGCAGCAATAAAAAATTATCGCATTAAAAATGCAACAAGTCTCTTATGTTTTGGCCGGTCTGGACCCAGATAATCACCGTTTTGGAGTGATAACATGATAACTACGCTAACAGAGTGATAAATGCGCTAATGCAATACAAAATTTAACGCACTTACAATGCACTAACTTCATCATGGCGCTACTAATGCAATAAAAATGTTACTGCTGTTCAAATGAGTTCATTATTACACTCTTCTTCTTGCGCTGTTGTGAAGGAAGAAGAAAAAGGAAGGCATGAAGGCAAGAAAGGAAGAAGAAGAACAAGAAGAAGAACAAGAAGAAGAAGAAGAACAACAACAACACTCTAAATGTCTCACGAAGAAATTTCCCATAATACGAAGAAAATGGCGCAAGCGTAATACGAAGGTGGTTTTTCTTCCTATTACGAAGGTTTTTCTTTGTATCTTACAATGAAAAAGCTAAAAAGATTCGTATTACGAAGGAATATTGCTTCGTATTATGCTTGCGCCGAATTCACTGTAACATACAGGGACATTCCATGTGAAGTCAACCAGGCCTTAGCCACCATGGGCTCCGATCCGGTTCTTGTTTTCAGGGTTTGTTACCCCTATGGTCCCATGAAATAATCGGTACTTGGTTTGGGGTCCGGCCCCCCAGGGGCTGGGCTATGGCCAATTTACTTTTTTGCTAAATATTGAAACAACGCAACTTTGGAGGGCAATATCTCAGCAACCATTGGTCGTAGGTCAAATCCGAGACCAGATTTGGAAAGAGGATGAAAAACTGAATCTTTTTTGTCTTTGAAGTTTTTATGTCCAAAAACTTTTTATAACTTTAAAACTTTAGTGAAATTTTCAAATTTGCGCCATTTCCTAGATCCTCAACCGATTTTGACCAATCTGAGCTTAAAAGATAGCTTAAACCCTTCCCTAAACGAAAATGTTAACCAAAAAATGTGTTCGGCTTCGTTCCCGAGAACGAGCCATTTTCGTGAACCCCTGCAACCACGTATTTCACCAAATTGTAGTGACGGCCGCACTTGATATCACACTGGACGCTCTCTTAGGTGTTTCGGCTCAAAGCAAGCTTCCGGGTCACTTTTCTAAGGTCAGGGGACCCAAGCGCCTGTCAGGTAGGCCAACAACCAGCAGACCTGCAACGCATGTGACGACTGATGTGACAACTAGTGACGACAGGATGGCCTACGTTGCCCCGAGTGCGACAGGCAGCGCGCTCTGGGCGGTCGGGCGAGTACTACACCCTGACAACCCGCCGTGATATTTTACAGGTGGGGGTGGGTGTTGTAAGTTATTGTTGCTCGGCAGGGTAGGGGATGTTTCAGGCGTTTGGGTAAACATACATGTTTGAGTTCTCTTTGAAAGTCTTATGGTGGTTTTGTACTTGTACTCCCCCGATTTTGCTTTCGTGTTAAAGAAGAGCTTAGCTATAGCCAAAGAAAAGTATCTTCTTGGTATGCCTTTAGATTAATGCCAAAATGCCGTTAAAGCGCGCTGTTAAGTCTGCTGTAAAGCATAAAGAAAAGTTTCTACTTTAACTATAGCTATACCTAAATAAAAATATCTTCTTTAACACAACTAACCTCTATCTTCAATGTTATTGACTATGGTATGCCTTCAGATTAATTCCAAAATGCTGTTGAAGCGTGCTGTCGAATCTGCTGGGACTGACAAAGAAAACTCAAACATGTATTTTTACCCGAAGGCTGACTGAAACGCCTGAAACATACCCTACCCTGCCGTGCAACAATAACTAACAACAACAACACCCACCTCCACCTGTAGAAATCACGGCGGGGTGGCGGGGTGTAGTACTGGTCCGATCGCCCAGAGCGCGCTGCCTGTCGCACTCTCCAGGGGCAAGGCAGGCCACCTTGTCGTCACTAGTGCGTTGCAGGTCTGCTGTTTGTCGGCCTCCCTGACAGGCGCTTGGGTCCCCTGACCTTAGAAAAGAAACCCGGAAGCTTGCTTTGAGCCGAAAACACCTAAGAGAGCGTCCAGTGTGGTATCGAGTGCGGCCGTTACTACAATTTGGTGAAATACGTGGTTGCAGGGGTTCACGAAAATGGCTCGTTCTCGGGAACGAAGCCGAACACATTTTTTGGTTAACATTTTCGTTTAGGGAAGGGTTTAAGCTATCTTTTAAGCTCAGATTGGTCAAAATCGGTTGAGGATCTAGGAAATGGCGCAAATTTGAAAATTTCACTAAAGTTTTAAAGTTATAAAAAGTTTTTGGACATAAAAACTTCAAAGACAAAAAAGATTCAGTTTTTCATCCTCTTTCCAAATCTGGTCTCGGATTTGACCTACGACCAATGGTTGCTGAGATATTGCCCTCCAAAGTAGCGTTGTTTCAATATTTAGCAAAAAAGTAAATTGGCCATAGCCCAGCCCCTGGGGGGCCGGACCCCAAACCAAGTACCGATTATTTCATGGGACCATAGGGGTAACAAACCCTGAAAACAAGAACCGGATCGGAGCCCATGGTGGCTAAGGCCTGGTTGACTTCACATGGAATGTCCCTACAAATAACATAGGTCAAATTTCATTGGAAGACATTTAGAGTGAAGAAGAACAAGAACAAGAAGAAGAGAAAGAAGAAGAAGAAGAAGAAGAAGAAGAAGAAAAAAGGAATGCATACCTCCAGGGCACGCGGGGGGCGCATCGTGCGCATGCTCTCCATCTGCGCCTCCACCAGCCCCTCCACGACGCCGGCGTGGACGAGCAGGAGTTGCTGGCGGAACCAGTTGACCCCCGGGCAGACCGCGTCGCTCACGGCCAGCAGATCCCGGCAGTAGGCGGCCACACGCCGCGACTCGGCTGCAACGCCAAGTCTGGTAAACCAACCACCGCGGCACTTCGTTGGGATGGGGTTTTTGCCCCCCCCCCCCACCAAGCCGCCTCTGGATCCGCCTCTGCTTCCTTCAGGCCGGCAACTACAAAGTGTTACACACACTGAATGTGAGTGATCATCTGACATAACAACGTATGTTCATGGGGAATCCCATAGTAGATACGCTGTTATGACCGATAGCTAGACACGTTTAGGTAGGATTTTGTACGTCGTGACGCACGATTTTAAACCTGCGTGACGTTTGGCACGCGGCGTGGGCAGAGAGTACGAGTTGTTTTCAAGCCCTAACATTAAGCTGAAAAGCACGAATGTGCATAATCGTGAACTTTTACTGTGGTTTATAGTGCAGTGCAAACCTGGAGTCAATGTCGCCTTGAGGACGAGCACCCCGTCCAGTTCGACGATGGCCTTCTTGGCTTGCAGCACCAGGCTGTGGGTGGGGTGCAGGGGCCCGCGGGGCCACAGGGCGTCGTGGATGAACTGCTCCCACACCTTCAGCGGCACCTGTCAGAGTAAAGCATCCAGAGTCAAAAACCACTGAGAAAGCGGATGTCTCACACTGTCCTTCGAAGAGTGGTACAGCCTACAGATAATGTGTGGTAGGCGCAAAACTGTGGTTACCCAAATTCACCACACGTGGAAATGCGGTCAATGCCCTTAAAAATCAGTGGTCAACAAAGCACCACATGTAATTTCATGGTGAATACCACAGCAAACATGTGGTCAGTCCTCCGTACCTCATAAAAGGGTGGTCTTGACCACGCAATACATGAGGTAACAGCTAAATTATAGGCTTGTACACCACTTATTTGACGGGGTGTACTTCTTACCACATTTGTACGTGTGGTAGAATGCGGTAACCACACTTTTGGTCTCACCACAGCCAAATGTGGTAATTTCACCACACTTTCGACTTCAGTGCACACTCTCAGACTGTTATTGACTTTTTGTCCATTGTTAAAGAGTATTTTACACAGCAATAAAGAGCACTATTTCCTCAGCAATTTCATTCGTGATATTGGCTTGAAGTCAATTTACTATTGACAGAGAGTCATACGCAATTGTCTTTATGCTGAACAATATTGTACATGGTTACAAAGAAAATACTACATATTATTGCTGTTTAAAAAACTACGAAAGCAAAGGACAAAAAGTCAATAATGGTGAGAAAAAAGTCAATACGAGTCTGAGAGTGCAGACTGTTCCAACAAATAACCCTTCAGATTCTCAGTCGTGGTCAAAAGAGAAACCCGTATGTCCCTGAAAAGCAAAACCAGGATGTATAAAATATCCGATGTCACGAGCGAAAATCCACTCGGATTATTAGTTTCTGTTACCGATGTGCTCTCCGCATTGCGAACAAACCTTATTTTTCACGAGCTTGCCTAAAGAGTTCGCAAGGTTTTAAGAGTGCTGAGCAGGGCACCTTGCCTGAGCTGGAGCGCAGCATCCGTCTGAGGTTGTTGGACCAACAAATTTCAATCTAAACTTTTACGACTCTACTAATTTAGTGCGGTCTCACACAATGTTGCGCATGCGTTGTTTTCGTTCAACCTTGTGCTCAATGTCGCACAAGTGCATGTTTAAAATTGTGAGAGATCAGATTCAAAAATTGTCCAACACATTTAGTGAGTCCCTCAAGAAAGGCATTAAACGAACAGGTAAATGCATCCCCCACTGCAAGAAAAAGTGTGAATAGTACAACAAATGTACAACAAAAACTGTACAACAAAAGTCCAACAGGGATTGTAGAAAGTACAACGAGAATTGTACAAACCACAACGAGGCCCTGGACTGCACAGCAATCTCTAAGCCGGATCCATTGTACTTTGTACAACAATTACTGTACTTTGACAGTACAATAAATTCGTGATAAAAAATTTGCCAGAAATTTGTGTACTTTTGTTGTGGTTTTTTTCTTGCAGTGCCGGAAGTCGGTCCGAACCTTTGCCGTGCTACCGACGTAGTTCTCCAGCCGTTTCTCCAGTCTCTTGGCCTGAGCTTGGGCCCCTTGGGCGCCTCCTCCGGTGGCATCGAGCGAACCCGTTTCCCCGCAGCCGCTGCAGGACCAACTGTTCTGCATATCATGGATCGTCACTGGGAAGGCCTTTTTCTTCTTGCCTACAACAGAACGCAGACAATGAAAGCTGGTGTTGGCAGATTCTCTTCATTTTGAAGGCAAGCGCAATGTCAGTTTTCAACTTAACGAGTCAAATTTCACGACCTTAAGAGTTGTGGATGGACAGGTAACATTGCATACATTAGAACCAGAATCGTGAGAAGTTAAACGAGGCATGAATTCGGACGTGCCACCCCTTTCTCCCATGAACAAATTCCCAATTTATCTTTTTCCAAAACATTGTTGTCCGAATGCACTGTGGGAAAAAATCACAGCAAATCCTATAGTGATTAGTACAGCTGTCACTGTAGTTCAGAGTACAGGATTTACTGTACCTTTTTACAGGATCTACTGTACTTTGTACGGAATTTACTGTTACCACAGGAGTGGAGTACGGAATATCCTGTACCAGGTACAGTAATTGCTGTAACCAGGTACAGTAAATACTGTGTCCTGAACTACAGTAAATCCCGGCAAAAAAATTAACGGGATTTACTGTGGTTTTTTCGCACAGTGTGGTTTGGTTCGCAATATTTCTTTCCCAATCAGCGTGTTTAAGACCCCTGAGTGAGAATGGAAGAGTCTTGACCAATACCTAATTTTGGGCGAGGTGCGCTTTGTCACTCAAGTTTGGGTGCGGATTTTTCTATCACCCACAGCTCGGCGAGAGGGTTTCCTCGCCCAGATACGGGTGACAGAGGGTGCGTATTAGCTGCCTACGAGAAGTATTATCACGGATGAAATGATCCCTACCCAAATTTGGGCAATAAAAAATACCGCACCCACTTTCGTCCTGATTTAATCAGTAATACGACACTCTCAGTGTCGGTAACTACACTCTAAATATGGGGTGCCCAGAAACTGGGTGCCTTTGTCGCCCGCCCCACTTTTTAGGGTGCCAAATGTCGCCCAGTTCCTGGGCACCTTTGTCACCCAGTCTCGGGGTGGACAAACCATTAAAAAACCTGCCTTCACACATGGCTCAGCAGCGACTGAGGTGCCGAAGGTGCCCAAAATCTAGGCACCTTAGTCGCCCAGGATCTAGACACCTGAGCATGCTCTACCATGGGAGGGGGCCGGTTACTGTATGATTTGTCCACCCCGAGACTGGGCACAAAGGTGCCCAGAAACTGGGCAACATTTGGCCCCCAAAAAGTGGGGCGGGCGACAAAGGCGCCCAGTTGCTGGGCACCCCATATATAGAGTGTACTCACCGCTGCACGCTGCACAGCACCAGGCCTCCAGGTGCAGCCCCCGCTGACTGGGGTCGCGGCAAAGCTCGCACTGGCACAGGAAGTTCCAGGCCAGCGTCTGGGCGCGCCGCTTGACTGAGCCCAGCAGGAAGTTGTGCAGGTAGGCGAGTGTGAGGTGCTCGCCGCGCGCGATGTTCCTCGACGCCCCCAAAGACGTACTCCGTGCTGCCGGCGGCCGGCCCCGGGGGGCCGCCCCGCGCTGCCAGACGAGCACGTCCGTGTTGGGGCAGCACGAGTGCTCCAGCAGCGCATGCCGGCGAAGACCGCCGTCTCCTGTGAAAAAAAATCCCAATATCGTAACAGTCGGGAAACAGGTTTAGTGCGTAAACAGCCCCCCCCCCCCACACACACGCATACCCCCGCTCTGAAGCGGGCCTGAAACAAAAAAAAACCACTGAGGGGGTTTCAGAGTAACTTATCGGCCTTTCAAGAGCAGGAATAAAATGCCAGGCAAATAAACAGCTCAAAGAGCTTGATAAAAAGCTTTGAAAGACTAGACTTTTACCAAGCAATTCAGACGCCTTGCACACACCCTTTGAAGAGTAATTTAAAAAGAGATGAGAAAGCGGCTCACTATGAGGCATTTTTTTTAAGAAGTCCGATCGTGGAAAACGACCGATGCCGATTTCCTCCATTTTTTGGTCAAAGGTAGTCCCTTTTGGGGCTAAGAAAAGGGCCCCAAATTTTTTGGGCCAAATATGCACCGTTCGACTCTATGGGCAATTTTCGTTTTTTCTGACAACTTTTCACATGATATGGCCAAAATTGAAAACTCACCTTTCTGAGGCCTCTATGCACTCGATTGAGCTCTAAATGTGGTATCTTATGTAAAAACACGCGAGGAAAACGAATCCGGTGCCCGTTCGTTGATAGGACAACCCCCAAAAGATTTATGACTGTTTTTCAGGTTTTTTAGTGGTTTTTACTTTTCTTGGGGTTTTGGTGTTCGGCATCGATTTTCGCCAATCCGATAAGTGGGTTTTATAGATAAAGGGCCAATCTATCATATTTCGAGATAAAAAGTTTGTGTACGCTGCGTGAAAGCATGGCGCTGCAAAATTGAAAAACCGTCATTTCGGAGTTTTAGATCAATAAGCCCCTTTCCGTGCCGTCTCCGCCCCATATTTAGTCTTAATATTGTCCCAAGTGATTCAGAGTTGGTGTGAAATTTCACCCCTGTAGCTCAAGAGTTTGGAAATGGCAGCTTTCTAAAGTTTTGCAATCACGTAAGGCATTTTTTTAAAAATAGAATTGCGGTAAATGTGAAGACTTGTCACAGATCGGGGTTTAAAAAGGGTAGATGAGTGCGTCAAAGTTCTCTGAGCGTAATTTTGGACAAGGAATCCGATTTTGCTGGTACGAAGACCCTAGGTGTACTCTAAAAATACGTTTTTTTGCAAACCACATAAAAAGGCCTTTTTTCCGACTTCAGAGTTCGCCTAGGGTCTTCGTACCAGCAAAATCGGATTCCTTGTCCAAAATTTCGCTTAGAGAACTTTGACGCACTCATCTATCTCATTTATTACCCGATCTGTGACAAGTCTTCACATTTACCGCAATCCTACTTTAAAAAAATGCCATACGTGATTGCAAAACTTTAGAAAGCTGCCATTTCCAAACTACTTGAGCTACAGCGGTGAAATTTCACACCAATTCTGACATCACTTGGGACAATATTTAGACTGAATATGGGGCGGAGACGGTCACGCGAAAGGGGGTTTTATCTGCTCTAAACTACCCAGAAATGAGGGTTTTTTCAATTTTTGCACCGCCCTGCTTTTCACGCGGCGTACAAAAACTTTTTATCTCGTAGTATGATAGATTGGTCCTTTATCTATAAAATCCACTCATCGGATTGGCGAAAATCGATGCCGAACACCAAAACCCCAAGAAAAGTAAAAACCACTACAAAACCTGAAAAACAGTCATAACATCTTTTCGGGTTGTCCTATCAACAAATGGGCACCGGATTCGTGTACCTCACGTGATTTTACATAAGATATCACATTTTGAGCTCAATCGAGTGCATAGAGGCCTCAGAAAGGTGAGTTTTCAATTTTGGCCATATTATGTAAAAGTTTTCAGAGAAACGAAAATTGCCATAGAATCTGAACGGTGCATATTTCGGCCCGAAAAAATTTTTGGCCTTTCTAAGACCCACAAGGACTACCTTTGACCAAAAAATGGAGGAAATCGGCATCGGTCGTGTTCCACGATCGGACTTCTTAAAAAAAATGCCTCTATGTCATGCCTGTTTTGAGACGAGACCTTTCTCGCACGTCAATTTTGACGCATGGCTTCTTGTCAAATCAGAATGAGACCGTATACGTCAAATCGTTATTTTATAAGTTTGGAACGATGATATTGTTGATACAAGGTTTTAAAACAATTTAAACAAACAAAATTCTCTGAAGAGAAATAACACACGCACACTTCATAAGCAAAACACGTCCTTTGTAATTCGAAACGATTCACCTCAACGTCGCGTAGAGTGATGCATCCTATGGATCAATTCTTGCAGTGTACCTCACCTTCCGGCCCAAGCCTGCACTGCAGCTGTTCGAGTTGATGAAGCAGATTCCGGCCCCACGGCGAACGGCTTCAGCGGTCAGCCACTTGAGTCCAGCCACGTCCCGAATCCAACTGACCGCGGCATCGCAGTCCTTCTTGAATTCCTGTAGTGCACCATCAGGAGGGCAGAGATCCTCATCTAGGAACAGAAGCAGGCAGTAATTTAAAACAAGGTAAAATATGGCAATTCACAGAATTTATTGAATCAACTCTGCAAACTGAAATGTGTGCATGGCACGCTCTATTTGGAGCATGCCAAGAGGCACGCTTTAAATTGGAGCGTGCTTGCCAGGCACGCTTTAAATTAGAGTGTGCTTACCAGGCACGCTCTAAACTAAAGCGTGCCTGCCAGGCACACTCTATTTTAAAGCGTGCTTAGCAAGCTCACTCTAAACTACAGCATGGACGGGACGGCAACCACTAAATATGTACTAATGCAAAGTTTCTATTTTATACTTCAGGGAGGGAAGCAACATTTTAAGTCTTGTTTGTGCTGAGATGTGTTTTACGTCAACAAAGCTTCTCCGCTGTTTTCACAACTATTGATGTATAAAATGCGAACTTGAAATGTTGCTTCCTTAAAGTATAAAATGGAAACGTTGCATTAGTACATATGTATTAAATAATTAAAAAATAAAAACCATTACGAGCATTCAGGAGTGTGGTTGCTGTAGTTTAGAGTGAGCTTGCTAAGCACGTTAGAGTGTGCCTGGCAGGCACGCTTTAATTTAGAGCGTGCCTGGTAAGCACACTCTAATTTAAAGCGTGCCTGGCAAGCACGCTCCAATTAAAAGCGTGCTTCTTGGCATGCTCCAAATAGAGTGTGCCATGCACACATTTCAGTTTGCAGAGAAATTGCGCAATTTTTGAAGGCACCGCTGTCTTTTGAAGAACAGCGAAAGATTGAATCAATATTACTCAAGGTTTTTTCGTGAATTTAAGAAGAATCTTCGAGGGTCTTCGAGAATGTACGGAGAACCTCCCTGTTTTTTGAAGTCTTTCCGTGAATTTTCGAATATTCCTTTGTCAACCGTTTTGCAAAGGACAGCGGTGCCTTCAAATGCGGAGATTAATTTTATACTGATTGACTCTAATTTTATCCAACACCACACTGACTTGACTAAAAGGACGCGGCCAAACAAGCGAACAAGCTTTTTCTAGAACTGGGTGAGATAGGGATGGGATGGTCGGGGTCAAATTTTCAAATGCTTTCCCTTTTTTAAAAACAAGAGGGGACTGTTAGCGATTTGTGACGATAGCTGTTGACATTCAGGCATTCTGTTAGGTTGGTACT